TTTTTTCAGTATACTAATAAAAAAAAAGGTAATGTAATGATAGATAACGCAATAAGTCAGTAAAACACAAAAATTGGTTGTATTTATATTTTAATTTATAAAATTTGCTGAACAGAACCCCTGACTTGCATTTACTTTAAAAGAGGTATTAATATGTTATAAAATTTAACTGAAACAAAACAATTTTCAGACATTTTAACAGCAATATTTTTGACTTAACAACGTGTTAAACAAGAATACAGTACTTTACGATATCAAGAAATTCTGTATTGCAATACTTGGCCATATTTTTTGGGTCAGAGCAAAATAATAACCTATAAGGCGTTTCACATAACCTATGAAACTGAAAATAATTTTGGAATCGGTAGGATTTAATACCTGTGTAATATGGTTTCATTTGTAACAATATATTCTTAAATATAAAAAAAATCAAGAATTATCCATTTCTGTCCCATATATAAATGATTTAATAAATAAAAATGTTCAATCAAAGAAAAATGCATATTCTACGTAATTCTAAAGTGTGTACGAAAAAGGATACACCATCAAGGCGGATGGGGAAATATTCAAAGAGTGAAGACTACCTCTACGGTGATTCATTTTGGTCGTCAGCAATAACATTTAAAAGAATTAGTTGGTTTCTGAGGTGGTCGATTACCTTCGGCTGTGTGTGTGTGTGTGTTGTTTTTTTTCTTATAGCAAAACCATATCGGGCTATCTGCTGTGTACACCGAGTGGAATTGAACCCCTGATTTAACAGTGTAAATCTGAAGACTTACCGCTGTCCCAGCAGGGGACTCCTTCGGCTGTAAAAGACGTTTTGCGATTGGCGAGCTGCCTTTCAAACTTTCAGTTAAAAAGAGCTTCATATATCGATTTCAGTTTAACGTAAACATCAAAGCAAATAAGGCAGTCTCAGATCGAGTCTATTTCGTCTCTGTTTCCAGCACCCCCACCTCTTCCAACATTTTTCTTACCGGATTTAACTGAATTGGTTAATGGTAAATTTGGCGACATGAATAGGAAAATGTGCCAAATGATGGCCAGTTCTCATCCATTTAATTAAGAGGATTGCCATTCATCTTATCATAACTAAATAACATTTTCCAAACTAATCAAACGGTCTATGTTTCTTTGTAATATCATAGCCTCCTTGTAACAACCAGTCACACGAAAGATTGTTAAATATTCAGTTAACTTACCCAATTTTCTGACTATGCTCCTATCAACTTTAGTAATGCAAATATGAAATATCAATGGTTCCAAACATACCTCTGATGCACATCATTTGTAGTATTAGTCCATTTAAACCAAACTCCATTAATATAAACATAATGTGGGCTTTCTCTCACTTAGCCAATTTTTAATCCATTTCACTAATCTCATACACATACTGTCGAAATGCTTTTGTTTTACCTTCCATACAGCACTTTATAAAAACTTCTTGAAAATCCATGTAAATTCAATTCTATTTTAAGCCAATTCAGAAAACAAATAACATTTTCAACAAAGAAAAAGTTAACCGGTTGGTAACAGAGGATCCCCTTTTTGTAGATTCATGTTGTCTGCCTAGCAAACTTTTTGAATTTCATGAAGTGATCCTGCCAAATATTTTTTTCGGGTTCTTTAAAGCTCTTCCAACCACTAAAATAAGACTAACTGCCTAAAGCACACTGGATAAATTTCATCTACATCTTTAAAAATCAAAGTAACATTAGCTACTGTCCAATCTTCTGGCACATGATATCAGTCTAATGGCCTACCAAGAACTAAATTAAAGCAGTTTATAAATCTGATCCTTAATCTCTTTTCAAATTCTAATATAAATATTATCAGGTCCAGAAACCTTATATGTTTTCAGTATAATAGTAGGAAAACTTTTTGTTCTAAAACTATCGAGAGAAAAGCTCCAAATGTTCTTCAATACTGTGAATTGTTTTTTTCGGATTCTGTTTTAAGACATCGGTTTAGAACGCTACATGCTTAAACACAGCAAGCATAATGGCTTTATACTACGGGTTGAACTGTTACTTTATGTTTTCTTCATACTTTGTTCTAAGTCTAGATCAAAACGGATAATTATTGTAGCGCCATCTCTTGAAGTAAATCATATTTACTTTCCTTTGAATATTACCAAGCATACTTGCTAATCAAGCGATACATCAGCGTTTTATGATTTCCGGCTATAATCATGCAGTATATGATATCACTGTAGGAAAATAATAAGTTTACAGATTTGCTAATTTTGAACATGTTACATTTAGATATGGTTAATACATGTCAAGATCCTCTAAAGTTACATTGACAAAGCAGTTGAATGGGTTTTCATTGGTAACAAGACTTGTGAATTGTGTAACGTTTTGCTCATACATTGTTATTCTGATGTAATTTGTTCAATGAACATTAAATTTTCCCCTTTTCTTAACTCGATTATGCTTGATCTAATCCCTTTTACTACGTTACCTTCCTTTCACAAGTTTTCCAAGGTCAACTGGGCAAAAGTTTCTGTTGAAATGGATTTTGCCATTTCCTCTTGCTATTCCCTAAACTGCCTATAAAGATTTTTAGCGAGATTCTTGTTCCGTCTACTTTACTGTTTTTCCCATCTTCTTAGTTTTCCCTAGCAACTTCATAAAAGAATTCTCTAGTCGAATCCTTAACGCAACAAGCTCATTACTAAATTTATCATCGTTTAATATAAAAATCTTCATATCTACCAGCTTTTCTGTTAAAGGTCATTTTCTGACTGGAAAACGAGCAAGTTGGAAGCCCTTCTGATCAATACTTACAAAGATACTCAAATTTCCAACGTTTGAAATGTCTAGCTGTATTGTTATTAACTTAGACCTGGAAACATTGTTTGGTTTCATGAAAATCATTACTAGGTCAATAATGATGAGAAAAGCGAGGCTTTCATACGATTCTTATCCCAGAAGGTTGGGGCACACGCACGTTATTCTTTTTATAAAAACACTCTACTATTTTCCAAGTAACTGGCTGAAGATCGTTTATGTTGACTAAATTCTCCTTTACTTACGGGTTAATTTAGTACCGCCCTTCACCAACACAATACAGCTCTTGGTTAAGATTGTATCATTAATGCTCTATTGCTTCACCTGAGAATTCTATCAAAATTTTTCCTAAACGAATTTAATGATGGTTGGATTACTGGCTGTTGTCCTCTTCCATGGAAATATGCTACTATTATCTCCTTTACAGAGCCTAATGACTCTTTGTCTAACATCCCAATACCCAGTCTCCGTTATCTTGTGAAGCCAAGGTCCTTGAATTTATGGTGTATAGAATATTCTTGTCATATCACTCCCAGCTAAACTTGCTTTTATAAAAGGAAAAGTACTTTAAATTGTTTGCATGTCTAAACCCCAAGAATCCACTTCCATCACATTTGTCAACAAAGGTTTCAAAATTGCTACTTTCTTGAGTACTGAACCTGGTTTTGACTCTGTATGGATTCATATATTGCTCCTCAAGCATTATTGTCTTGGTTATAGAGGGCTATCTTGCACAGATTATGTATCTTCTTGCATAGAACTTTCAGAATAAACATTGGAGATTCTGAGTCTTAATTCTTTCGGAAAATTTAAAGTGTTCATCAAAGTTATCATCTTAGCCCTACTCTGTTTAATGTTACCTGACCTGTATCGTACATATCAACTCTACTGTCATGTGTGATGATGACATTTCAATTTGGTGTCAAGAAAGAAATGAAGTTCTGTGCTCTTCTCTTTAACATAGTTTTACTAAGTGGAGATTTGGGCCACTAACTGGTGTTTTCGTTTTACTCCTTTTAAATGCAAATATGCTGTTTTTTTACAAACCCACCATACTCAACAACCACAGGACTTCTTTTAGATTCACAATGTTGCTCTTCCCAAAGTTTCTGAATATTACTAGTTGGAAATTACTTTTGACAGTCATCTTACCTGAAATTTTCATATACTGAAATTGTGATTAACTGTTGCCTGTGCTTCAATCTAAGCACACGTCTTATGAGCCATTTCTGGATCCTCTTGGGAAGCTGATCATTCAACCTTAAACTCTTTTATATGGTAAAAAACTATGACTGCATTTTTTATTGCAATGTCTTTTACATCAGCTTGAGTAAATATATTCTGCTGCTCCACACAGTTTTTTGGGTGCAATGAAATGTACCCCATTTCTGCCCTACAAAATGTTACCTCTGAATATCCCTCTTTGCCTTCAGCCTGATTTGTTTAGTTTTTCTCTTATGCATCAATAAAGTACCTCACTTACTCATTTCTCTCAGGCCTAAGCTCATCTCAGATTCTTTCTCTGGGGCTGAGTTCCTCCCCCTATTCACTTGATGTTCACCAGTCTATTAGCTTTTGTGTCTGTCAATCTCAACCATATGGTTGAAACTGTTGTTTTTTTATTTCCTCTTCCATGGTTTTTTAATGTTGTCCCTGTTGATTTGTTTCTCATTGACTGAAATCCCTTGTGACACTTGTCATCAGTCTCGCTGTTTAAGTTTATCTCAACATTTGAGGGTTATTTACTTATTTATACAGGTGGCTCCTATGGACCCAAATGTAGACAAACTGCTTTTACCTTAATTGTTTACACTTTCGGTACTGTTGAGTCTTTGCCAGCTGAACTGGTCACAATTCTTCACACTTTACACTGAATTGTTTTCAAACAGATACTATAACACCAGATTCTCTTAGTGGACTCCATGCCTTATCATTGCATCAATCTTACTTCTGCCCTGCTCATTTTGGAATGACAACTCTTGCTCTTCCAACTGAGTCACCTCAGATTTTTCTGGATTCATGGACACATGGGCATTTTTGAAAACGATTGTGTTGATTTTCATTCAAAGATCCTTTACACCACTCTTTCATCAATGTTTTTATTCCCTGTGCTAACCTTTGATTTTCATACTACCCCTACTCTCTCATCTAAGTTGCTCATAGTTCTTGCCCTGGGGCTCCTCTATTGGGCATTTCAGTTTCAAAACATTACACATAAATGCTTACCTTACAAGTCAATTTTTTATTTCATTTTGGAAATCACTTACAAAAAAGTAACCCATCAGGCATAAGCAGAGTGACCAAATTATTAGGGCAAACCAACATGTCTGGTTAACTATCAACAATATTTGATATTACTGGGAACATACTAATATTAAACAAGAATGGACTAGTCACTAATGATGACTATAATTTGAAATTCTAAACACGTAATATTAAAATCTATACAAAAATATACAATACAACATGTTTGTCAAATGCAGTCAATTTCAAACATGATTTGCAAATGATGTAAAATAAATTGATAACAATTACATTTCAATTGTTTAATCTAGTTAACACCATCACAGTCATTGTTCATTGATACTGATAATAAATATAACACCTACTAGACCACTACTTATCTATTTTATCCCAGTCAGCCTGATAAGTTCTCGATATGACAGATGTAGTGTGTTTGACATATTATAACATATTCACTCAAGGGTTCTTAGAATTATAAGTTCAATGGTAAAACTCACAGATGTTTACTTTATTCTTATATATATATTAAAAGTGAATTTCTTCATAAACTTACTGAACTTTGTCAGTTAATCAGTATAAATAGCTTTATTCCTATAATAGTTTTGAGCAACTATTTTCAAATCAGTAGAAATTCACAGTAAAATTTCTGTGCAAGTCCTTGCAAAGTTTAGGTAGTATTATTCCATTATGTCACTCAGATAAACAGAATCCTCCCTCAAAAAATGTTTTATAAGCACTTTCATGACTAGCTGATTATTTCAGACAACTGCTGTAATGCTTTAAACTTATAGTAAAAAAACCTTTTATTGGTAACAGTTTTGTGACTTTGCTCCATGAATCCCCACCACCACATTAAAAACAACCACAGATTCAATATGTAGATTAGTGAGAATGTAAACAGAATTCAATGAAATTATTGAATTCTATTTAAACTCTCACTAACCTACGTACTGAATGTGTGATTGTTTTTATTATGGTGCTGTATACAAACAAGTAGCAAAAACATATGGTTGTAGAAACACAAGTCTAAGGGTACAGTCTAAATATTTGTTAAATTAATTTACTGGCAATTTATCAAAACTATTATCAATTGGGAAAGGTTTAACTTCAAAAGTTATTTGATCACTAGTATATAAAAATTATTTTTCTTTTTTAAACTCAGAGTCAGGAAGAGCAGTGTTGTTACCAGCATTAAGTAAATGTATCATTAAATACTGTATTAGGAATCCTTTACACTAAGCCCTTTTTTGGTTAATGGGCACATCCTGAGCTTTCTTAACAGTCTCTGGTATTCCTTCCTTGTAAGGCACAGTACACGAAGGGAACCAAGTTGAAACCTAGCAGCTTGTAGTTCTGTAACTCGTTGTTTAATAGTCTTAAAACTGTGACTTAAAACTCGGGGAAACTGGCAGACTTGGTACGGAGTAAAGCCACTATCTAACAGAAAGTCCAAAATCTGTAAAAAAATAAAACCAAAATTAATGCCTAATTGGAGGAAATATGTACTAATTTTTGAATAAGTACTTGGTGTTAAGAGATGAAATAAAAATGCAGCAAATACTTTGTTCTTAAATAATTTGGAAAACTACTTACAATAATTTTGTTTGCTTCACTTAACAAAGAGATGAATATTACATTGTACAATAAGCTATGACAAAGAAAAAACTTTAATATGCTAGATGGAAACAAGATTATCACATTAATTCTGAGCTTGTTAAAGAAAAAATTGGGAAGCTTAAAAAATGATAAAGCTCCTGGACTAGATGATATTTCCCAAAGGATATTTTTGAGGGTGGTTAAGGATTGGATGCGAGTCACTACTAATAGTTTTTGTAAGTCCTTCAACAGTAGGCAGGTGCCAGAAGATTGGAAATCAGCTAATGTTACTCTTCTTTTCAAGAAAGGTGATAGAAATTGTACAGATGATTATAGGTCTATCAGTGATGGGAAAAAGTTTTCAAAAGTTTGAAAATTCAGTTAACAAAGTTTAAAATTCTGTGTTTGAATCTGTCCTAAATAGGTCTATTGAGTCAATGAAACAAGCATATCGATAGGATGAATAAGTGATCAACTGCTGGTGATGTACACAGTGTTTTTAAACATCACTGTAGAAATAATATTAAGAAAAGTACATACTGTTCTTTTGTATTACAGCACTTCCATACAATTCTACTTGACTTTTCAAACAAGTTTAATTTAGTAAATATTCTTACATGCAGCTTCATGATGCAAAATACAACCTTACTACTACTAGTACTACAGTATAGTGAACATATTTAAGTCACATTACAGGAAGTCTGTATAACACTAGCTTCTGTTCTGGCTACATACGTTCAGTGTGAGTTCACTAAAGTAAAAAGATTCCATAATTTACAAACAAAGTGACTTTACAGTAACTAACATTAGCTTATGTCATGTATTGCTCATTATAACAGTCTAAAAACAAGAAATATTGGAATTAGAAACTAAAAATTCTCTTTTTATGCATTCCCAACCCTTCTGTGGGAATGTATAGTCCAGATGTTCTGCCAAATGTGCTTCCCTGCTTCAGCTTTTTTTTTTAATGTGAATGTGTTTAGTCTACATAGCCAACATGATTTATTTATTTGTTTTCACATAAAGTCTATGTTTCAAATACATCCTGGACTCCCAAATGAACAAGAACTCAGTTTAATTGCTAGAAAAAAGTCTGTTGTCCACAGATCTGAGCACTTGAAATCTCAGCTAAGGTAAGATGTGCTTTTTATGCAGATATGAAAATAGCATGTTTTCCATAAATATTCAGATATAATCTTGCTTATGATGAATACTTAACCAAGATTCCTTCATTAAGATTAGTTTTCAGTGTATTGTACAATTACATGAAAAAGGTACATGGAGTGATAACTTACAATAAAGTATGATATAATGTAAGAAACACTTACAATTTTACATCTAAACTGAAGAAATTGTTTATATGTACTAGTTCTACCTGGCACTTAAACAAGATATAAAATCTTTGCGTTTATCAAGTCTCCACAGTAACTATTAAAATATTTTACTCTATACAGAGAACAGTTTTATTGGATGGAGTTTTCTGACAGTCTCGTAAGGTAATATTATTTTTAGTTTCCAAAATTTTGGCTTATATTTTCTAATGATACATTTGTTTTTGCTTCACAGTGTTAGCATCCAAGCATTATGGATATTTACAGATTAGATATTATTTACTAGAATTTATGTTTTACACAGTATGCTGCTGTTGTAACAGACTACACATTATTGGAGTGTAACAACTGATACAGATTGTATACCCTGTCTAAATACTTTTAACTGTGACAAATATAGTTAACAGTAAACTCTAGTTATTATCTAAATTTGTTACGAGCACGTGTTCTTAGAACTTTTAAGTTTAAGCACATTCTATACATACCATATTGCTTTATAAATTATTGAACATAATATTAGTAATACATATCAAAATCATCAAAGATGGCCTCTAAAGATCCAACAAAATCATTCAAAAAAAAGGGGTGAGCTCTCTGATGATGTAGCATTGCTCCTCTTTTTTTGCTTCATCTTCTGAAGAGTTTCTTTCCTCTGAGTCAGAGGAGGACATCATAAGATCAGCTCAAGTGGATCCAGATGAACCTGCCTTAATGAATTCACTGATATTGGAGAAGCCTAACTTACCTTCATGGGAAACAGACTCTCCTCCTGACCTGCAACAATCTTGGGAGACTGTCACTGGTTCTCCCACGACCAGCACTACATCCACTTCCAAAATAGACAGAGGCAAGAAAATACAACAAAATCCTCTGGTATGTAGTGCAGAGTGGAAATGAGAGCTCCTCAAAGATGAGCAGCTCAAATTGTTGACAGATTACATTTGAGGAAAGCCCCTGCCCTGTCAAGCTAGCACGTGCCAGACTTGATTTTTCCAACTCTTTTTTTTTTTTTACTCACAAAATTGTTACCAAAACTGATGAAAAAATAAACAGATTTGCACACCAGCAAGGGGAACACCTAAAATCAGTACCAGAAAGAAAATATAATGCTAAAATACATTCATGTTATTTCTGAAGAAATTTTAGTTTTACTTGGTGTTGCTATTGATATGGGCATAGCTTGCCCACTTTCCATCTCTTAAGGATTACTGGTCTACCATTCCTTCACTTCACATACCCTGGTTTACTTACAAATTTTTCAGAGAAAAATCCCCAATCATTTTCTTTCTGCATTTCAACAACGTTACTAATAATCTACCTAAAACTAATGCTAAATCATAACAAACTCTTCAAAGTCAGACCTGTACTTGATCATCTACTAACAGTTTTTTTACAGCTCACTATCAACCTTCTATGAAACTATCCATAGATGAACAAATGCTGAGAAGAAAGGGTAGAACTTCATTTAAACAATATATACGTACCAAGTGGGGGATCAAATTGTTGGTTCTGGCAGAAGCCATGACTGGAAACATTTAAACAATATCTACCTACCAAGCATACAAAGTGGGGGACTGAACTGTAGGATCTGGCAGAAGCCATGACTAGATACATTAAACAATATCTGCCTAACAAGTGGAAAATCAAATTGTGGGTTCTGGCAGAAGCCATGACTGGAAACATTTGTACAATATATACCTACCAGGCCTACAAAGTGGGGGATTGAACTGTAGAATCTGGCAGAAGCCATGACTAGATACATTTAAACAATATCTACTTAACAAGCCTACAAGTGGGGGATCAAATTGTGGGTTCTGGCAGAAGCCATGACTTGATACATTTAAACAATATCTACCTAATAAGCCTATCAAGTGGGGGATCAAATTGTGGGTTCTGGCAGAAGCCATGACTTGATACATTTAAACAATATCTACCTAACAAGTCTATCAAGTGGGGGATCAAATTGTGGGTTCTGGCAGAAGCCATGACTGGATACATATAATTTTTCCTTGGTAGTGATAAGAAAGACAGGCCCCACTTCCCAGATATAATCTCAGGTAAATTAAGAATAGGAGAGTTGCAGTTTTTCAGCTGTGATTCACTGACTGCTAGGAAGTGGACTGATAAAAAGAGATGTTTGTGCTCTTTCTACAATGCACAGTAGTTACAAGAGGACGGGACTAACAAATAACAGCTAATCATGGATTACATCATGTTTAGTGGAGGGGTTGATCTTAATGATCAATTTCTCAGCTACTATGTCATTCCACATAAAAGATTTTTTTTAAAACTTGCTGACCCGTCTATAGTTAATTCTTTTCAAACAGGTAAGTAACAAGGACAAAATACACATAGAAGAATTTCTGCTTAGAACTGGTAGAATCCCTTGAGAAACCACTAACTTTAAGCAGAGGAGGGCCTTCTTGTTTGTCAATATTCCATCATCAGCACTGTCAGATGTACATGAATGACTTTCACCTGGGAAGTACTTCCCAGCATTTATAGAAGAAAGGTAAAGATCCACCACCTGAAAAGTACTTACCAGCACTTATAGAAGAAAGGAAAAGACGCATCACCAGGGAAGTAAGGAAGAAGAAAGGAAACGGTGTAGATTGTGTCTCCACACAAATCTAATTAAATTGATTTGCAAGCAGTACAAAGTTCATCTGTGTGTAAGGCACTTAGAAGAGTATCATATTTCTGAGACTCTTCAAAGAAGTTAACTTTTTTTCTACTAAAGTCAGTCAGTATGTGATGCTAATTAGGTTTCTAACTTATAAGAAAAACAATTACAACTATGTATATGTTTTTTGAACAACACGCAAGTTCACTTTCTGTGTACCTGGATTGTAATTTTTATTTATTTTACATTACTGTGGTCAGTTTTCATTATATTTTTATACACGTTTAGTGCTTCAGTTTAAATACAAAGTTTTCGGTACTTGCCTGAATTGTACACAACTTTACAGTTTGCATGTAAGCTCTTTTCAGTTTGGTTTCAGCTACTCATCTGCACTTTGTTATTCATCTCCAGATAACTTTTTGCATCTACTCATGATTTGTCTAAAACCTCTACTTGAACAGTGTATAAATCTACAGTTTGCATGCAAGCTCTTCACAGTTTCGATTTTCTCTAGATAACTTTTTGGTAATGGTAACAATGTTGAACTAAAGTTTTTATTTATTTTTTGCATCCATTCATTTATAAGAAACTACATAATGAAGTTTTCAGTGTACATCTATCTGAATAATGTATAAATCTACAGTTTGTATGTAACTTCTTCACAGTTTGGTTTCAGCTACTGATCCATGCTTGTTTATTCATCTCCAAATAGCCTTTTATTAACAATGTTAAGCTAGTTTTCATTTATTTTTACATTCTACTCGTGATTTGTATAAAGTTTTCAATGTATAACTTAACAGTTTTGTTTTGTTTTTCATCACCAGACAGCCAACAGATTTTTAATTTGGCAACAATGTTGAACTGCAGTGTTAATTTGTTTTGTATTCTACTCATGACTTTTAGTAA